ATGTATAGAACCTTTTGCTTGTGTAACATTGCTTATTAAGTGATCAATACATGAATTAATTCTGGTTGGGGAAGTTATGTGCTGTATTAAGTTAAAATTTAGTAATAGGTCTTTAAAGTCTTTAGAGTATTTATTAACCTTCAGTGTGTCTATATTTAAATCTCCTGCAATGATTATTCGTTTTCTATTTCCTCTTGATAATTTTAATAATAATTTATTTAATTTTTCGAAAAATATATATATGTCTGAATTTGGTGTTCGATATATGCATAAAATTATAAGATTAAAGTTACTGATTTCAATTCCGCAACATTCAAAATGTTTTGTCATTTCATATTCTTTCGTAATCATTAAATCATTATAATTTATATTTTCTCTTATAACTATACATACTCCGCCACGTCTTTCTCTTGATCTGGAGTAGAATGATGCTAGCTTAAAACCTGACAGCTTAAGGTTAGGTTCTTCGCCACTTTTTATAAAGGTCTCAGTAAAGCAAATGATTTGAATATATTTATTACTATTAGCTAGTTCATTCAAACTTACTACAATCAAATCTTGTTTGTTTAAAACTCCAGCAATATTTTGATGTAAAAGAAGTAGCTTCTGATTTGAGTTATTTTTATCGAAAAAATATTTTTTTATTATTTGATGAGGAACCTATGCAAGGGTTTGCTATAGCATTATTTATATCTACGTTACAAGTTTTCAAAGCTCCTCCCGTGGATTTAAAATTCTTCATTTTCATTTTTTCAAAGAAATATTCTATAGTACCCTTCTTATAATTAATAACTTCATGAACTTTTTGATTTTTCATAAGTTGTTTTTTGAAATAATAGGGTATGGTTCCCTTCTTAGGTTCGTCTATAAATGAGGTTCTATCCACATTTTTTTTAGTCAAGTTATTATGCCTACTTTTCTGCACTATAAATTGTTTATCATACTCATGACTATCTATAGAAATGTTAATAGAATAACACAGGTAATTTATGTAATCGGTTGTTGAATTTACATTACAATATTTGTAATCAATGTCAATAAGCCTACAATTTTTGTGATTTTGAGTCAATATTTTATACATATTATTTAACATTTTTTCATTCAAAAACAAATTACTTAGTACCGGTAATAAATAAACATTAGTTTTTCGCAGTTTATGCAAAGCAACACTAAGATTAGAGTACAATTTATACGGATTTTTGTCATGGCTCCCAACGCACAGTATAACATAGTCACTTAATGTTACTGTCTCTTCGAGTTGGTTACAATGCATTAAGATATCACATGAGGAAGCGTTTGGTTTTATTATAGCTAATGGCATATACTTATTATTCCATTTTCCTTCTCTCGATTTGTATAAAGCTGAAGATAAACCCGACGTATTTTCGTCCCCAAGAATTGTGATCGTATTTTTTTTCATTTTGGGTACTTCTGTATATGTTGTTATAGGTAAAGATGAGATACGTGTTTCACTAAGTGTATTGCTTACATCTTTCTTCTTTTCTATGCAAGTTTCTTGCAGTTTTAGGTCCTTTTCTATAGTCGAATGAGTGTTTAAACTTTGCCCAACTTTTATTTTACTATTCGTATCGTGCGAGATGGATATAATTTTATCTAACTTCATCGGTGTAATTTTATCTAACTTCATCGGTGTAATTTTATCTAACTTCATCGGTGTTAACCTTCGTGGTGATACTTCTCCATTTGATAGAAGTTTTTTGTACATATCGAGCTTCTTTTGCTGTTCAGTAATTTTCTTTTGATGTTTTGTGATTTCCAAATTTAATAAATCTATTTCATTGTGTGCACTAGATAGTTGTATAGAAAGCGCATGTATTTCATCTCTAAGATCATTAATCAGTGAGCTTTCCACAACAATCTAAACACAGCAATCTAAAAATGTGGAATTTTCTATGTTCTCTTTACTTGATAAATCTTCAATTGAAATATGTTTACCCACTCTTGTTGGTTTTCTCTGTGTTATGTTTTCATCAGTACGCAAGGTTTTTTTTAATGAACATGATTTTGTGACATTGCTTAGTCCTTGTGGGGTTTTAGCTTCTGTAACATCTGTATTCTGTCCCAAACATGTTTGGCACTTCCATTTAAGTTTGTGTTCTTTGGTCATTAGATAAAAGCATTTGGATGTAATACTTAAGCATTCAATTTCGTAAATAAATTTGCAGTCGTAACATTTAAGAATTTCCTTATGATATATTTCTTTATCACATTTGTTGCATATTATATTTTTACCCCTTGATGCCATTTTATAAGAAATGAAAAAAGATAATAAATTTGTTAAATGCGTCAGAACCGATTCTCCGACCTTTTGATATTATCACTCCGAACTTACCATTAGGCTACGCAAACTTGAGAAATGTTGATGAAATTGTTGTTATAATTGAAAACTTGACAGTACTACTTTATCGACTTTATCCAGTTTCTATTACTAGTTGATAGGTGGCACTAGTATCAACTATCCATCCAGCAGTAATTGTAGATAATTTAAAATTTTTACACCTTAACGATCTGCATCCAATTGCATTAATTTATAGTATTTCGTAAATTACATACATATAAGCGAGATTATCATATTTATTTAGAATGTAATTCACTTGGGTTACACTGTTTATTATATTTTACAACACTAATGTTTAATCACTTCATTATACAATTTTAACTGGACGGCACACATAGTTTTATACTTAAGTTTTTTTCTCATATAAAAATATACTATTTTCGCGAATAACACTTCCACATATGTATTATGATATAATTTTCTTGTTTTTATCAAAAATACAGACTTTTAATTAGATTTCGAATTTAGAAAAGAATAAAACACGGAGCTAATGTTTAGTTACAGCAATGACAGCTGTCAACTCTTACAGCAATGACAGCTGTCAACTCTATATAAACTTACGAGCCAGAGAACATAGAAAAAATTGTTATGGCTACGTGCGTTCTGCGTAATTTTTTGATAGAACACACACCAAGTTCTTATGCGCCCCGGAATTGCTTTTATCAAAAAAATTCTGCGAATGGTACTATTATCACTACAAATATAAACATGGAAAATTTACAGCGACGAGCTCAAGGAAATATTATGAGTGATGCAAAAACTTGAGGCTTGAGATTTTGAACTTAAGTTGAAAAGTTGTTTGAAAACTCACCCCGTATAGAGTAAAGGATAGTTTTATTAAAACATGGAAACAGGCATTACGTCTCTCATTTGACTTCTTCAATATTACAAAATCAGCAGCAGGTGCGTTACCGGCGTTTTCCAAGAAGTAGGCTCTTTTCTTGTAGGTCCTTAAGTCGTATCAGTCCGGAAAAATCGCTAGTGGTAGTTGCGCGAGTAAGGTCTATTTCATCAACTGATCTATTTATTCATTGAGTCTCTTTCGAAATGAAACGCTTCTCCGATCATTGAGTAGGTCGTAATGACCTAAATTAGCGATCAAACTATCGGTCGACTAGTCACTCGTCTGTGGAGCCCTCGCATGGGGTTGGTTGTACAGATCTGATCGGTGTGGAGAGCGATTGCCTTTTGTTGCGGCCCTTCGTAGTCAATCGACCATGTTATCACGATATCTTTGGCTAGCTTTTTATTATTGTAAAATGTAATTCAATATTTAAAGGTATTGTTTCAGACAATTAGATAGTTTGAATACAAAATAATGGATATGTCATAAAATAAAATAACAACACGATACTAAACGATTCCTATACCTACCTAGAAGAATATGTAATTTTATATGTATTTATTAATATCATAGGTAACCCTGAAATTTTAATGGCTATTGTATTTATTAATAAACTATTTATTACGAAAAAGTTTTTAAGAAACTGTTGTTAGAAACGTATCTGGCACTTCGCTGGCCATAAAATGCTTGGTTTGTATGCATTACTTACAGATAACCCTTTTGCTCTAGGTATGTGGAAAAAGTGTCAGAAAAAAGAAATACACGAATTAAGTATATCTTTTCACTCAATGAAATAAACCACTTATTTGATTTAATACTTCATCGCATTGAGGAGATCAGAACGAGTCAATTAATGTGGGGGAATAGGAAAGTAAAACAGAACAGCCGCAATCAGTTATTAGGATATAAAAAATATTGTAGGCTTAACTTCCTTATATAATGATTTCTTATGTTTGCGATTTGCCATCTAGGGTTTCATCACCACTTACCAACAAGTGGGATTGTGGTCAAGCACTGGCTTATAATAGGTAAAAAAAGCAATATTTCTATTTTCTGCCGACTTCCAAATAGGAGACGGTACTCAATTCGACTATATGTTTTTTTTAATGTGTGTTACTTCATAACTTTGTACTGGGCGAACCGATTTGATGATTCTTTTTTTATTTGAAAGCTGGTGCTTCACATGTGGTGTCATATAAATTTGAACAAGGTCTGGCCAATAGTTTTTGAGTTATTCTTAATAACTTTTATTGAATTCGGTTGTACAAAATTTTTAATTTTAAATTATATATTCCCGATGTTTGAGTATTTTTCAACACCCATATCAAATTAATAATAATAAATTTTAAACTGAAAGTAGCCGTGCGTTAACCATGACACAGGGAATTCGAACACTTCAGTCTCCCCCCTGGGTGCTGTAAAGTACTCGAAACGATGGGAATATAAAACAAGTTAATAAAACGCAATAAAATCCTTAAAAAATAGTTTCAATCGAATTCTTGTATCACGATTTTCTTTCATAAATTCGGTCTCAGGACAATCAACTATAAACAATGAACTCTGTAAATTATAACCAAATGTTGTTTGTGTTTTGTAATCATATTTACATAAAGTGTAAGGTATGTATATACTCGTACATCTACCAGGTGGCATAATCTTAAAACTAAGCTAAAAGTAGTTGAGAGTTGAGACACGTAGGAATCGGTAGTGAATAAATGATTTTGTAAAATGAAGTAGTCCATTACATAATAAAAATATGATAATATAAGATAAATAAATGTGGATATATTATGTTACCTGAATTCGCTAGGCGACTGCTTGTAGGACCGAACATTTGATATGGATCTGGAACAATAAGAATATTAGTTAAAATAATATATACATTAACAAGAAATTGTCTCCTGAGAAACACAACAAATAGCAAACAAATCAAGATTCAGTTTAAATGTTACGAAAATCCTCGTGCAATGTTCGAAATGATGAACTAAATAAAAATAGCTAGGAAGTCTTTCTGCTAGCAGATACTTAGTGAATAATCTCAGGGATTATTCGTTGACTGCTGTTGACCAAACTTTACAAGACGTGCTTTATGAATTAACTAAAATAATAACAGATTCCCTATTTCAAGTGTACCTTTTTACTGAATTTCTACAATTTCAAATTGGTATAATATATTATAGCTTATTTTAGTAGAAGCCTTTTCCTGAGTTCACATTGAAAATAAAAATTGTGGTTGGCAACCCACCTGCCAACCGTGACAGATAAGGAATACACAAATCTCTGAGAGGCGGCAACTATGGTAAATATGCCCTGTGAGGCAATCTATGGGAGCTGTGGATTTTTGGTGGGCTATATAATAATGATTGTTACTTATCAAGTTTGTGTTTCAACACCAACTTTGCGGATTTTAAAAAGGTTAAAATTTTCACGTAAAAGTCATATCATAGTTTGTGTTGGTCGATTAGACAATGGCAGTCGTCATACATAAAAGAAAATGGAGTGCTTTCTTGTTACGTATCCTCGTTTAAAATCGTCTATCTGGCCTCTAGACAAGTTGTAACTATAACAACGCAACCGACAACAGAATGGCCCAAAAAACGTGATGCCGTGCATAGATTGCATTTGAAGTAGCCTTAATGAGCGCCACAGTCTGCAGCCGTATTAGCATAGATAGAAGACCTCTAACCTAATATCGTCACTTATAGAGGGTTTACACGGGTCGATTTTACCCGCACGGCTAGGCTAGGAAAAACTTACACATTTTAAAGATAAAATACTTAATCATTTTTCTACTTAAAATCTACTTTTAATAAATTAAAATATACAATAAGGATGTAGTGTATTTCATTTAATGAGTTTTTAATTACACAAAATATACTAAAAATATGTAAAATGTTTAATACAATGTAGTTACTGATAAATAATACAAATTATTCAAAATTCAGGGTAGTATTCACAGATTCTCACGGGTGACCTTGCCTCAGCGCCCACTGTGGCAAAAACGGTTGCACGGCTCATGAAAAAATGTTTCAAATAAAATTTGTCGCAAATTTTATGCTCTACAGTTTTTATAAGAGAGTAGCTGGTACCCGGCGCATTGCTGCCACAGAAAAAATAACTAATGAAATATCATTTTAAATGTGGAAGAGTTATAATTATTGATATAATAATTATTATAATCATTGAAGTTGAGTGATCTATAACTTAAATCTCAAATAAAGTTGTTGATACGATACGCGCGTCATCTATTGTAAGTTAATTGTACTATCCCTATAACCTTCGCAGAAGTGCAAGCAATAAGTTGACAAAGTTTTTGAGCCATCTGATGAAAGGTATGGCAACGCATAAAATACGAACAAACAAAAATAAATTCTTATGTATTAGCTGGTAATATCATCGAAGTAATAGAAACCGAGTCACCGCAAAAATCTGTTTTTTTTTTTACATTTGACCTTGAATAACTTGCGACGCAGACACGAGATATTATGAGACTTTTGAAAGAACTTTTAGAACGCCAAATTAAAGGTATATACCAAAATTCAGCTTATTATTTCTCCTTCCGAGGTTGACCACTTTGTTATGCTAAAGTGACTGGACTAATGGTAATTTCTTCACGGTGTAAGCACGTTATTGATGTAAGCAGAAGTGAATTCACGGAAACGGCAGAATTTATAAAGGTTCGATTTGGATTATGTGTTGAGAAAATGTTCCTATCTGTTGTTGGAAAAATTGACGGAAATGTTAGAAGAAGAGATATCTCAAAAGATATAACTTTGGATAAGAAAATGGATAGACGACAGAAAATAAACTGGAAGTTTTGTTTAGTTATTAAATCAATTAAAGATCCCGTGAAATACAAACTAGCTTTGCAAATAATTGCCAGTGACTGACCAAGACCAAGTACTGACTATTTGGTCGTTTTGACGAGGTCAATACTGCTGGCGCGGGTGGCGGGGGGAGTGGACTGACTTCAAAATATTTAAGCTGGAATATTGGAGTCAGCACTAACGCAACAGTGCTGTACTGCCTCCAAATCAATTCACACTGTATCTGTATCGGGTCAGCACTGACTTGCCTGGAATTTGGAGTCAGTTACTGACTCTGTGTAAATCAGCGTTAAAAGGTCAGTAGTAGGCGACCGCCCGCCGCATGAGGTGTGTTATCGGTAGAGATCATTTAAAAACTATGGATAAAAATTATACCTTACTCTTTTTGGAGTGCCATGAAAAGCATTCATGCTTACGGAACCCAAGACAAGAAGTTTCCTTCTTTCCTTCTGTTGCTCCTCACTTTGTTTTTCAAGCTACTCTTGAATAATTGAACTAGGAATCATTTCAATGCCGGCACGTAAAACCGGGTGTTTCTGCTCAACATTTTCTTCGGAAATGAAGAAGTCGCATGAGATTTTTGTCGAACGGCGTAAATGGGGTGGCGATTCGATTTTAATAGCGATGTGACTAGTGACTTGCCGCACGACTAAAATCGACCCATGTAAACCCTCTATTAGACGTAGAGCCACATGCGATAGCATTTCTAGAAGAATCTGTATGTCGGTGTGTAAAAAATACCGGATGGATCGAGAGTCACTCTAGCGGAGCGTCGTATCGATGGTGGCGGGGTAGAATTGAGGGTAAATTGGGAAACCCCCCACTCGTTTGTGCTGTATAAAGTTCGGTGGAGGTGAGGTGAGATGGGATGGGTGGTGTTGCTGTTGGTTTGCATACTTTGGTGTTATCATGTAATTATGTCCTTTACGTTACACCAGTGTGTAATTATGAAGGAGACATATTACGGCATGGTCGAACTGTAATCACTCTATACTGAATGTATAATGCGTTACGCGTCTTATTACTGGTAATGATTAATTGCGTAAGCAATTTGAACTTTCGCACTCACACTTTTACCATTTTTTACAATTAACGCAGTCCTGATGTATTTCCGAGGTCAGAAGTGGCCATCTCCTGTTGTATTTACGACATTTATTTGTATCTGTGTAATTATGTAGCAGTACACCAGCCTTTTTATAGTTGTTTAACTTTATCAAACAAAATTATGTTTTCTTTCTAATGACAAATGCTGAGACCAACATAAAAGATAGAAAAAAAATTACGAAGAAATAAGCATGGTTTCCATGCTAAGTCATGGACTCAAGGCAAAAGATTTTTTTCTTACTTTGTTTATCAGCCCTTAAAAGTATACTGCCGGTAGAAAATTATACGTGTCTCTCTCTCTCTCTCTCTCTCTCTCTCTCTCTCTCTCTCTCTCTCTCTCTCTCTGTGTGTGTGTGTGTGTGTGTGTGTGTGTGTTTGTGTGTGTGTGTGTGTGTGTGTGTGTGTGTGTGTGTGTGTGTGTGTGTGTGTGTGTGTTGTTCTTGCAAGTTGATCATGGTTTCGAAGTGGTTTCGGTGTTAGCTAAAATGTACGTGGTGTTGTGTCTAACTTTCTTCTTTGATCTGAAATAACAGATGGATTATTTTGGTTACCGCAGGCCATAACCAACATCAAAGCGACACCTACATCAAGCAAACAAGGCCGTAGATGCGTTATCAACCATGAGCACATTTACCTTTGCTTCGCAGTTTATGTTGAAGCATTTATGTCGTTGTATTTAGTCTAGAGTAACTAGAACACAACAGTGTGTGCACTACTGCTTATCGCCAAAATTCGCAACCTAGGCAGATTACACTAGACAGAAAAAATCATAATAAATAGTTAATGTTTGGAAAACAGCGTGCTTAAACAGGTTATTTGTGCGGGATATTCTTTAACGTTATATTATTTATTTTATTCAGGATGTCTACAGCTTATTGACACTTAAATATTTTTACTTAAATTATTAAACATGAAAAAGCCAATTATAGTTATATACAAAATAAATAACCACATCACTGACAACATAAATATAACTTTAATAACATACATATATACATACATACGCACGCACAAACACACACACACACACCCACACACATAGAGAGAGAGAGAGAGAGAGAGTGAGAGAGAGAGAGAGAGAGAGACATGTATATATACCTATGAGCATAAGCTGTGGCAAATGTGTCACTGTTCAGCTATCAAATTCATAGTTTTAATGCTTTTAGGAAAGTCTAATTCTACACTTATTAGGAAAACTAGACTTTTTAGAGGTTGAGTGCTACCATCTGCTTGGGATCCTATAATTAATAAAATTAAATCCATACCCAAACAGTGAACTGCGATACTAAAAGATACTTTGAGGTCGTTCTGCGTAGATCGATCAAAAATTTATATTCAAAAGCTGATACCAATAACCAGTTGCTAACTTGTTTAAGTATGGTACCTCGTGACAAGATTTTAAAGCACCCGAAACATCAGGAATTAAAAATGTATACATAAGTAAAGTAAGTAAAATAAGTTAAATTAAACGCGATAAAGTCCGCAAAATTGGTTTTATTCAATCTGCAGTATTCTTGTAAATATAATAAATAGAAAAGTATTAAAATGTTTCACAATTGCACTGCAGACATTCATTTGCACATTATTAAAATTTAGTTTTTGCAAAATACATTTTAATATGTGCAATACATTTTAAAATGTCTGCAGTGTGTTTTCACTTAAAGTCTTCTGTAAGTAGCGATGAAGTGCATTAACATTTTAAATTAGCCAAAAGGAAAATCTGTTGAAATGATTGCCTGTTACTAGTTACGATCCATAACGTGTGCCAACCCATGAATGAAGAATATAAAAAATTAAATGATAGAATAAATGCGTTGTAAATTTGATTATGTATGTTACATAAATAACAACAATATTTTATTATAAAACTATTAACTTAATTATCATACAGTCCTACTCCCCGCGATATGCCAA